TTGCCCATTCGGTTTGTTCATATTTGAACAGATCTTTGCGAGTTTTGCGTTAGCAGCAATGCCAGCAGAGACAGTGATATTTGTCTTCTCATGAACTTCTCGCCGCATCTGTTCAACAGCTTCCGCTGGGTCCATCTCGTGTTCCTGGCAGTATTCGGTGATATTTAAGTATGCCTCATCGATACTAGCGCTCTCGAACCGGGGATCGTAGTTGACCAGTACCTCTCTCACCTCGTGCGCTTTTGCATTGTATTTCTGAAAGTTTGGTTTTAGCAAGATCAAACTTGGACATAATTTCTTCGCCACAAAGCCAGCCATGCCTGACCGGCAGCCGAACTTGCGCGCAACATAATTGCAAGTGGTCAAAACGCCGCCACCAACTGCGAAAGGGAGGTCCTTTATTTCCGGGCGATCAAGTTGTTCCACAGCTGCGTAGAATGCATCACAGTCCACATGGACAATGTGCTGAGTGAGGTCGCGAGTGAGTTCAAGTTCGGCAATCAGACGGTCTGCATTGCGCAAGTCCCGAGTCAGATCCCTCTTCTCGAGTTGAGCCTTTCGGGCGATAATTTGTTCGATCTTTTGGGTGAGGACCTTGTCTCGTTCTTCTTCGCGGTTGAAGAATTTGGATCCTTTGGAAGCGTTGTAGATGATATCAGAAACCTTGGAAGTTGTGTCAGTGATGATTGGTTCGTGTGGGTAGCAAGCGTGTGTACCTTTGTTTGATCAACCGTATCTTGTCCTGCTTTTAGTAGCGATGGTCCCAGAAGGGAATATTTGAGGGTTTTGAGAGCATCGTCCTCTGCAGTCTCAGGGGTGTCTCTGCTGACATGATTTGTTTCCTTTTCAGCTCCTGAAGGTTCCTCTGTTGGCGGCAATGGAGGTTGCTCCTCCGCTTGATCAGTTGGGCTCATCTCAAGGGGACAATGGCGGTGTCTTCATAGCATATACTGCGACTTTTGAAGGCATCGTGAAGCCAGCCTGATGTCGTCGCGTCTCAAGGATGAGAGGAGAAGGATGACGTGACGGAGAACCCCCCAACATCCTGGACGCGTTTGAAAAACACACGAGGTCATGTGACTTCACAGGGACCTCCGACTCTGTTTTAGGTGCTCTTAGTGCTGTCTTGGTTAGTGGGGGCCGCTATTTTGGTAGTGGGACGGCTCTAACGATACCAAGGGTCCTCTGAACTCAATTGGCTAGAGAATGTGCTTCCCCTCCCCAACAACAGGCGTCTAAGCGCCGACATGGACAACTTACATGCATTATGTCGTCTGTTGGAAACACAGAAGTTGATCAGTCGACGAGTCAAATGGCGCCCAGCTCTGAAATGAGGGTTGGACTCGGAAGGGGAGGGTACAAAAGCTGAACGAGGCCGCACAATTTCTTTCTGTCACGAATCGCTTGATTATTTTCCCTACAGGTCTTTGATCTTCTTCTGTCAGGTGAGCTCCCAGAGGAAAGGAACCCTTAATATGGCCGCACGACCAGGAGAGGAGAATGTTGCGACACTGTAAGTTGCGACGGCTAAATGCGCTGAGGAGATGTCCCAATTTGCTGACAGACCGTCAATGAAGCTTCGCAGATATTCATTACTTCTATGGCCCCGATACTGTGAAACCCAGACATCACAGGTTTGATAAGGGCTCATATGTCTACCTTTTTGAGAACGCCAACGAGCGCCGGTGTCGCATCGAAATTGCCAACCAGCCAGGCACTGAGGATCAGGATGCTTTCGAAGGATGTAAGACTCGACATGAGGTCGCGCATAGCTGAGAATGGACCATACTGATAAGCCAACCTTTAGACCTCGATCAGACACACGTCCGATACTCCTACAAGCAACAATGTAACGTCACTCTGACTGGACCTGAAGCTGTCGCGGACCAAAACGAATGGCACCTACCAACTTTTGATCCTCAGAACCAAAACAAGTACCACTATAAGCTTCACTCACTTGACATCTACTTCTGGACTCAGGCAGATGCGCTCCAATTTGTCAATGGCGTAAGAAGAGTTGCTCCGCCTTCACATGTCGAAGTCCTGGATGAGCCTGGCCCGCCCCCTCAACCTGCGCCTATGAGCTCTGTGGTTCAACAGTTGGAAAACGTTGCCATCTCAGATCCTCAATATGGTTCAGCCAACGTTCCGAGCTTTGCGCCTCCTCCCAACGTTCCCGCCCCGCCCCCGGCCCCGCCCTCCGAGGCACCGGCTAACTTTGCTCCGATGGCTTATAACCCGGCCGCGCCAGCAGCTCCGGAGACGATCCAGCACCGAGAAAAGACACCGCCTCCGGATGAGGATCCCCTCAACCCGCTGGCTGTTGCTGTTGCGTATGACTACCACAAGCAGCCTTTCACACCGGGTATGCCTCCGCCATCGCAATTCCCTCCGGGAGGTGTGACAAGCCCCGGGCTGCCTCCACCTCAATTCGGTCAGCATCCCGGATTGCAAAGAGCTGCTACGATGCCTGCTCAAGCATTGGGAAGTCCATATGGTGCAACATTCCCAGGTTCACCTGGATTTGTATCTCCCCCGCCTCCTCCACAAACTCAACCTCCGGCCCAGACTCAACCCCACTCGCAACCAACACCGCCAGCTTCCAACCCGGGACTTCCTCCGCCACCTCCCGGAGGCTTCACGCAGTACAGCTATACCCACCAAGAGCCGCAGGCGCCAACTCAGCCAGGTTCAGAGTATTCAGTTCATCAGCAAGTTTACCGTCCAACGCAGACAGAATTAGCCAATTCCGAGATCTACTCATTTGCGCCTAAGACAAAGGAGCCACGAGGCAAACTTGAAGAGAATGCGGGACGATTGGAGCGTGGCGTAACGGGCATGCTGAAGAAGTTTGAGAAGAAGTTTGGATAGATAGCATGGGACTTATCCAAACTTGGTTGGAGCGGGAGTTCAAGGCTGTTTTATTCTCACATGTTAATTTTATATAGCATCACCATTGATTTTAATCTGCTCATCAAGAGGATTAAGCCTTAACCTTTAAGTAGCGGCAGTCTTGTACTGCCTTAATGACCGTCAACAGACCTGCTATAGAGGTCCTACTGTTCAAAATAATGCCAAGTAGTTGAAAGCTCGATAGCCTCTTCGAAGGTGAAACCGAGATTTTGCAAAATGATACTACTGGGTCTCGACTTCTTATCCAGAGGGCCCAGCGGATGATGTATAACTCCCTCAATCAACTGTGTAACACCAACAGCCTGGAGAAGATATCAAAGGCTTGTGTTTCGAGATCCCGCAGGTTGGACAAGGGGGAAATGTGAAAAAGGTCTCACTGTACGGCTGAATGTAAGACGACCAAAGAAGAAGTAGTGGCATCAAGAAAGGCTGGTGGTTCTCACGGAAACCCCGACAATGTGCATTGCTTAAGAGAAGACTTATGACAACCCTTGCAAAGCCACTGGAGCAAACACTCCATAATACCTAGGTAGTTGACTACCTTAGGTAGGTAGGTAATATCAGAAAAGCACGTTATGACCAAAGCTTTAGAAAAAGACGAATGACAGTAACAAGACTGCCGACAGCTCACCAATGGAACAAGTAAGGTAGGTAGTTTCGTTAATCTGACCTTATGGACGAAGATTAGACAAAGGCAATAATTATTGCATCAGAAGAAAGATGCGGGGAGGCTGAGCTTTAGCAGGGGCCACCTCAGCCACGCCACATCCCTGGAAGGTCAGATTTAAGGGACAGGGCCTTTCAGTAGCGTAGTTTTCATGATCTTTAGCGGCTGGAGAAGCCCGTCTTCGTCGAGGTGGATCTTGAGAGCGAGCCTCGATGGCATGGAACGTAACAAGAGAGCTCTGAGCTATGTACTATTATGTGAAAACGTGTTTGGAAACCGATTAAACTCTTACAAAGAGGAGTCATCGATGAAAATGAGCGACAAAACAAGGGAATTCTTCCGCAGATCTGTGGTGATTGCGTAATGAACTGGGGCCCGTTGGTGCTTATTCCTTGGGGATGAAGCTGTCGTTCAAGGACCGGGTGCAACACTGCGGTCGATGAGTACAAGTTTGAGATATATGTCGGCAAGATAAGAGTTTGGACCTGTTGTACACCAGCCACAACGCCTTGCCATTCCGTCTGATCATCTTTGACAGGCGATTCAAGACAACAGTCGATATGATCTTCAACATCCAATACTCTGAGCCTTAAAGACACACTTATAAACCCTTAAGGGCAAGGTAAGCAGAGGCCACAGCTTGGCCCTGTACCAAGTTACGTAGCCGCTTATGTACTGATGTCACCACCCTTAACGGCCACTGACAAGTCATGATCGTCAAGGAGCAGATAATAGGTGATGGAAGTTACGTTAGCCAATTCCTGATCTGACAGCAGAACAGAACAGGGCAAACCAAGACGACACGGCTCATCCGCTTATTCTGGTCAATGCTAATCTCAATTTCTCGTTTTTAATCTTCTCGTTACACTCGTGATCATATTACTTCCTCCCATTTTTTGTGCTTCCATCAGTGAAACACAGAGCGAGTATAAAGGGTAAAAGGTCCCGAAACACCCCTGCTAGAAGTCCAGGCCCAGGTCCATTTTCATATCCAGTCCAGCTCAGCCAAGCCAAGCCGACTGGACGGGAGAGCCAACCAACCAACCAACCTCGCGCCTCGCGAGCGCCCGATAACTGCGGCTGTGCTGTGCTGTACGGAGTACCTGTGCTGTGCATTGCTTTGCCTGGAAGTTGGAGGCAATAGTCTTCATCTTCTTCTGCTGTGGTTCTGTTCCTCTTAATCAATCTCCTGTCAATCAACCCTTCTTCCCCAGGAACAACGCCTTTTGCCGCAATCGTTGGATCTTATACGAAACTCTGTACTCCCACTTGGTATCGGCAAGCATCGATCATCCAATCGGGCACGCCTCTGTGTGGTCCTCTTCTATCCGCCCTCTCCGACGAATTGTCGCTGGCAATTCACTCTCATTACCAGTACAATTAACTCCTTCTTCTTCTGGATGGTGCAATTTTGTTTGAAATGCATCTGAACGTTCCAATACCGCGTGGCTGGGATGCCACCGCGAGCGCACTTCAACCTCGAGAAACGCCATCTAGCAACGGTGGTGGGGGAACCAATAATACAATTGTCTTTATTGTGAGTTCAACTGGAGTGGAAGAATCGCCGACATCTACCATGGCGCTAACATTTATGTCTCAACGTGCAGGTCATCGGTAGCATTGCCGGTGTAGTGGTAGCCATTACTTTGGCTGTTTGCATAACGAAGGCGCGACAGAAGAAGAAGAAGAAGCCGACAGAAAGTAAAAAGAAGGGAGGCTTTCTTGAACGAATAAGAGGTCGATCGGGGCAGGGCAATTACGAACAGACAGCAGGTGAAGATGGCGGGGAGAGTGGAAGACAATCACATCAGCTCGATCCCACTTCTACTTCAACCAATAACCGACAGAGTCGCAACGGTACCAACGCTGGTGCAACCGTCGACCGAAATACTTCCGTCCGCTCTGTGCTTACATTGCCGGCGTATCGACAGAGCGCAAGCCATAACGAAAGGGTCCTGGGACGAGAAGGCGAGCGAGATGGCGTGGACGTGATCATCGACCTGCCAACTGCAGAGGCAGAGGAAGAAGCGCGAAATGAAGAAATGGAGACTCTCTACCAGATCAGACTGGCTCGACGACAAGCCCTCGCCGAGCGTGAGGAGCGTAGAGAGCGACGCCGCGAGGCACGGCTCAGAAGCGACTATCGCGAGCTTGAGGCGATCAGAGCTGAGACTCGTGCTGCAAACGAGGACAACACTATTACCGAACTACGAACGACTGTGGACCAGATCAAGGACAACAGGCAGAGATCTGTGTCAAGTGTATCATATGCAGACGTAGGTGTTGCACGGCATGACGGAACGAGAATCAGAGCAAACAGTAGCGAGAGTGAGCGTGTTGGCCTGCTCTCCGATGCTGCAAGCATGCAGTCAGGACATCAACGGGGGCGCAGCTATAGCTCTGCTGCTAGTCATGACGACGACTTCGCAAGTCTGGCCCCTACACGTTCCCAAGGAGCTTCTATCCGATCAGGCAGTGCAGATGGCAGAGCTGGCTCGAGTCCTGAGTTGGTCGAAGCAGATCTTGGTGAAGAGGCGATGCCGCCTCCCGAGTACGAGGACATACCACTCACTGATGACCGATCCTCGAATCACGGTCCCCCGCCTGAGTATCCCGGCCCCGAACGTTCCTCATCGCAGAGAACGCAGCGAACTACGGAGCGGGATCTCGGGTCAGATTGGCATGAGATGGACCCAGCTTCAGATGGACAAATCAACAGCCCACCAAGCGGTCAAAGTAATGGTAGCGCGCCTCAACTCCCCAGCTTAAGAATACCGCAACTCCCCGAGATCGTGATCGAACCATCAAGCGCACATCCACGAGACGACGAGCAACGATCACCACACCGATGATATATGAGTCTTTCTTTTAGTTTTTTTTTTTTTTTAAATTGGTTTGTTAACTTCTCATATGGTATTGGTTTATAGTTTTGAACTCCCGATGTATTAGATCATCTTAAACGAAAGCATGGAGTTTGGATTGGGTTGAATCTCTTGAAAGACACTTTGGATTTTTACTTAGGACGGGGTTGGGCCTCAGAGGCGGCATTCGTATTGATCCTTGTGAGTATCGCTTACAGTGTGGCGTTGGTCTTGGCAGATATTGAGTTTCGATGTGTGAGATAGGTAGCTGATGTACAGAAAATGTCAGACTTTAGAGCCAAGCGCACTTACACAGCATGCGAGTCTGGTGAGGCTATCATGTGATGATGCAATTTGATAGCACGTTGGCACGAGCCTTTGTAAGTTGGTCGTAAGCCTCAAGTCAAGCTTGAGACTTTTACCGACTAAGGGAGGGTCCTGGCATGAGACTTATATGCAAAGTCGTCCCATTGATAAGGCGAGAGTGGATGCTCGAGGGCGGTTGGTGACAGGCAAGTGGTTCAGCGGAGCTTCAGCTGCAAGGGGCCAAAAATAATCAAGACGACGGTTGCTGAGATCCACTGAAGGCATGCCTAATCGTGCATCAGCATGAGATTGAGGATGTCGGTGAGAAAGAAGACAGAGGAAGAAGAATATGATGATGATGATGATGTAGAATCAAGAAGAAAGATGAGGTGAGAAGGCATGTGGGTAATGGATATGCAATCATCGAAACAGGAAACCGGATACAGCAAGTGCCGGAGTGAGAAGCCTGAAGTCCTGGACAAAAATTGCAGAATGAAACATACTGGCTTATCAAATGGTTGGATAAGATAGAGAGGCAAGGTAGAAACCATGAGATTTGCAATAACCGCGCGCAGTCGGACAGAGACGTCCCCGCATTGAGTGCATATGTTTTGTCAGGCTCGTGTAATAGAAGCTAAGCGTCTTCTGCTAATCACACATCAGCCTTGACTCAGCAAAGATGCTTTTTAAGAGGGGGGCTAATTATGGGGCTTTCTCGATCGAGGTGGGGTACCGTACCTAGGTACTAACTAATTGTTGAAGAAGAGGTTGATTTTGTTTTGAAGAGTATTACGAGACTTGATATGGGTTTGGAGGAATTGAATATCAGAGGTATCGTGGTAGGAATTAACAGTGAGGAGTGCTTGACTCTGGTTGATTAAGGTAGCTTCCAAATTCAACAAGAAAGATTGAGTTACGGAAGCAATTGTCTTGCATGTCACAGAAGTCATTATTCAGGGACATCCCGAGCTTCACCTCCACTTTTTCTTCAGAGCTGTTCTCAAGGTGTTACCGGTTCAATCCCCAATCCCACATCCACGCGTTCGTAGATTCCGGAACTGGCAGAGTTGCACCAATGATCTCATGAGCGCCCGGCTCATTTCTCCTTAGGTGCATGATACGTACCTTTTTGTGGATAAGATCCCAGTTCCCAGATGTAGAAGCTTCCAACAAGTTCTCCCTCGAGCTATAAGACGAACCCTCCCCTCTCCTGCTGTTGCGTTTCTCTCTGTCTTATCATCACTCAGTACTCATCGCATCTCTATACCTTGTATTTTCTTAATTCTTTACTTGATACCCCCCCACAAGTCATTCACAATGGCTCCCAAGATCGCCATCGTCTACGTATGTTTCACCCCTCCATATCTTGTCATTCCCAGCCCCGCTATCATCATCTCTTCATGATGAACAAACTACCCATTGTTACTCATGTGAGATGCTTGAGGCTGCCATACGTACCAATGAGTGCAACTCAAGATTACACTGTTCAATGGCTTGTGTGTAGCTACGCTCATACAACATTCCACTCGTCACTCCATGACCACAAAACACTAACATAACATATCTCGTAGTACTCCATGTACGGCCACATCAAGCAGCTGGCCGAGGCTGAGAAGGCCGGAATTGAGAAGGCTGGCGGCTCTGCCGACCTCTTCCAGGTCCCCGAGACCCTCCCCGAGGACGTCCTCGCCAAGATGCACGCTCCTCCCAAGCCCACCGATGTCCCTACCCTCGACGACCCCTCCGTCCTTGAGGGCTACGATGCCTTCCTCCTTGGTATCCCCACCCGTTACGGAAACTTCCCCGCCCAGTGGAAGGCTTTTTGGGACAAGACTGGCAAGCAGTGGGCTTCTGGTGGTTTCTGGGGCAAGATGGCCGGTATCTTCGTATCTACCGCCTCCCAGGGTGGTGGTCAGGAGACCACTGCTCAGAACGCTATCTCCACCCTCACTCACCACGGCATCATCTATGTTCCCTTCGGTTACGCCAAGGCTTTCGGTGTCCTGACTGATCTCTCTGAGGTTCGCGGTGGCAGTGCCTGGGGCGCCGGTACCTTCGCTGGTGGTGACGGTTCTCGCCAGCCCTCTGCCAAGGAGCTCGAGCTTGCTCAGATCCAGGGAGAGAACTTCTACCAGACCGTTGCCAAGTTCACCGGTTGACTGCATGGCAGCAGCCAAGCCAAGGCTGCGCCTGAGGTGGCATCGAGCACCAACAAGCCTGCCGAGGCTGAAAAGGATACCACTGCTCCCAAAAAGGAGAACAAGGGACCTCAAGAGCTTAAGGAGGTCAAGGAGGGGCCTTGTGGACTGCCAGCCAAGTGCGTAGTCCAATAGACGAGTTGAACGATAATGGAACGCAAATGCTTAGAATCAGCAACAAATACAAATAAATATTCTTATGATCATGTTAGATGAAGAACTCGCTGTGAAAATCATCACATATACCTCTTGAGAGTCACCTAAAGGGCACGTGAGACGGCGATGCGAATGAGAAATGACGATTAACATCGTTTCCGTGTCAGAGGCTTTCCTCTGTGACTGTTATTTCAATGCCTGGACCATAACTACTTCATGAATATTACCGCTACATACAAGGTGCTACCTGGTAGGTGGATGTCCATTCCAATGCAAGTAATCGAAGAGCGTCGAGATAGTACAGGCAAGCAATAGGTCAATTTTAATCTCTATAGTTGGCTTGGTAGATACCCAAGTGAGTCGACAGGAAGCTGCGCCCAGCACAAACTAGCCCTTGCAATCCGAGAGGATGATTCAAATCTCTAAACACTCGCTAGGGATAGAAAGAAAAGAGGGTATCTTTCGTGCAGTAAAGCCTATTCTTCGTCACAGTCCCCTGCCTTTGCCCCCATTCATAAGACCAAATTCGTAGTCTCCCTCCCAATCCAAGACATGCTTCCTGGCTTCATATTTTTATCTTCATTTTATTTTTGGAAGAGATTTGTCCGCGACCCTTGTGGATTATCCTGGAGTTCACCGTCGTATACCTTGGTTCGCTCGTCTCGAATTGGGCTTGGGACTTGGATCTCTCCTCGGTAGATCTCAATGACGTTTACCAATGGAAGGATAAGAAGCAGCATGGAGAGAAGCTGACCGAAGCTCCACACAGTCTCGCCATTGTCTTTGAGCTCGATTGATGGGTGGCCAAATGCTTGGGAAAGAAGGATAATACGAATAGCTGCTCCAACTGCAATAGCTGTCATCAACACCAACCCGACAACCTGGATGATCTTATAGAACCGTTGCTGCTTGCTGTGAAGATACCAGGTCGCCAGGCCAAAGATGATGCAGTTACCGGCAATAACGACGGTTGTGCCGACGTAAGAAAGACCAGCGTTTGAGGCAGCGCCCTTGCCCTCAACTTCCCACACGCAGGATATGGGGAGAGTTTTGTCGTCAAGACCCTTTGAAACACCCTCGAGAACAAAGACGCCAGACACGCATGATAACGCCAAATTGACGAACATGAGAAACTGTCGCAACCATCGAATCACCCAATCGCGGCGGTAATCTTGTTTAAGAGCCAAAAGTGTCGTGTTATGGGTCGCCATGGAAAGGAGTGACAGCATCCATATGAGGAAGAAGTGATACGGCACTAGACTGTTCATCTTGGCCAGTCCAACACTCTGGATACCAATTCCCTGCATAATTTGAGAGTCGCTATAACCGTTGAGCAGCTTCCGCCGGATGACTGAGTCTCTCCCTCGCATTTCGGCAAAAATGACGCTACTCGATAATATGATGGCGAGCAGCGCCGTGATCATGAAAGATAGTAGGATCTGTCGTGTGTCAGCACCTGTTTATGTTTTCTTCCGATGTACTGGACTGAAGCTTACACCAGCGCCTGCGACGCCGGCATCGCTGGCTGTTGGAGCGGTCGCATTTCGATCGCAGTTGGCGGGTTCCAATAGAGCCATAATGGAGTCAAAATGGGTTAACGAACGTCGTGAGTAGACAAAGAAAATATAGAAGGCATCACCAAAAGACAGAAACTCAGGGTGCAGAGATGACTGGGGCTCGAATGATTATTATGACGTTTAAGCGCGGACCCCTGGTCGCACTGGTATCTGAAACAGGCCCTCTGGTCAGGATCTACACCAACATTGCGGAGTCACTGGATCGCATTTCAAGTTGGCATTGGGGCTGTGTTGACGGTGTTTGGGCCAAATCCTGCCAGCACGCAGCCAGAGGATTTCTTTGTACCTTGGGGGATGCTTGGTTGCCACAAAGAGGTGCCATCAGCCATCAGCCAATCCATGAATGGCCTGGCCTCTATGCAGTCATATTTGCCTGCCGCAAACCCTCGCCATGCAGCCATCAACTCCATTGTATAGGTATGTACTTGGTACTATTTGTGTCTCTGACACAGTAGCAACCAGTTCATCATGGCGGAGATTGAGACAATTCACACAATGGCTCAGACCTGTTTTCGTGGTGGAATGTCACACCCAATTTCTGCCCCGCAGATCGTATCTTGGACTATTCCAAGGACACTACAGTGAATGAAACATTTGATGATTGGCGTCAATTTCTCAATCAACAGTCCAGGAAACACTTCGTTACGAATGCCACCACGCTGTCAGAAAAGATATTTACCCGGCCCTGCTTGACAAGGATAACAGACAGCAGCTCATTGTGCTTTTTGGTTTCCTCGCTTTCAGCTCTTGCTTTCTCGCTAAAAAGTACCTCAAAGCACCAAGATGTGCTGTCGCAGCCTCTCATACTCTCACATGGCGAACAAGCCTCTACTACGTGGAAATATTCATTATCATGGGGTCTCATCGTGGGAGCTTTGCCGACTATTGATCGAGATAATAATGGACATGCTATGCTTTTACCACATCGAGCGAGTTTCGGGGCTTTGGAGGCATGGCTGATCCGTCGCATCACCCCAGTTCTTTGGTACAGGCAGCCAGCAGATGCCCCGATGCTTGCATTTCAAGCCATTTGGCCGGCCTACGATACCTTCAGTCTTTTATATCGTTTGTTTGCTTTCAAGTGAAGGACTCTGGGTGAGGCGTAGGGTAGGCTCCTTCTTGGCCGGGAATGCCTCTGGAAAGGCTTCTGCTCGACTCAAACCCCTCAGATCCTTGCCAACCAGGGGGTCGATAATTTGTCGACGTCTTGAAATAGAAACCAAAGAGCGAGGCACAGGACGAAGCGAGAAGAGGTGGCAAAATTCTCAGCCGCCTGTGCCATGCGGGAAAACATGAAGAAATGCCAGCCAACGTCCCTATCTCGTCGCTAAAACCACAGGAGGAAACGAGACGCCTTGTTGGGCTGGTGCGATATTACCAGCAAGGGTACGACTCGTCGCATGCCAAGACCATATTTTCCAGCAGTGTTGATCAAGTCTCGAAGTGCAGCTCAGACCAAATTCTGACATTGCTGGCATAAAGTGATCTGTCAAGCAAACAGGCTCGATGCCTGATCCCAGTATGCAATAAAGAGCATTCCTTCAGGTAGAAGATGTGCGGATCGCCTGGCTCAATCATAACGAGTGAAAATGACTCGAAGCGAGTGGAAGGATGCGAGCGAGTTTCCCAAAATTGCGACTTGCAGGAGGAGAGGTGGTTTTCTTGGTGTGTTGGACTCACCCGCAGATGAACCAGGCCTAGCTTGACCCGACAGTTTGGATATCACAGTGATAGTGCGACATACCCACATGAGCCTTCCATTCACATGATAAGAGGCGTCGGTCGGGGGACTGGTTCCGCTGCAACTATGTGGATAATAGTCGATGCTGGAAGCAGAAATGAGGACGCGGCCGTCCGCCCAACTGTTTGCCGTTCGTTGCCTCTTGTCGTGTCGTGTTGGCCCGGGCCGCTGGCCGTCATTCGTCTAACAGCTTCGCTTCGCCAGCCGTCTCTTCTCTTCTCCATACGCAAATTGGACCAGGGTCAACCTGATCTCTAGGGCGCAGATATAGGATTTTACCTTTCCATGAGAGTTTTTGGAAAGGACGCACACTACACCATCTGTTGAGTGAAAGGCCGGCTTGGAAACCGGCTTGTATATGTTGGGTTGCGTGCATGATGCAGTCGGTTGCTGGCCATTGAAACGAAACACTGAGCAGCAAATGGCTTCGTTAGGATCCAAATAACAAACCAAACACAAAGGCAGAATGGCACCACAAGCCAGAACATAGCTGGACCATATCAGATGTACCAAAAATCAGCGTCCATTTGATGACCAGCTGATGGCCAGTGGCCTACCGTGAGTGTCAATCACAAATGAAGGAGTGTTGGGTAAATATTAGGCGTAGAGAAGATACCTTCCAACTACCTTAACGAGCTGCCTGTCTCAGCCCCAATGCACAACCAACAGCTAGTTACAATGTTGAAGGATGTCGGGTAGAGAACGAACCACAAACACCCTTGCACCTCGACCCATATCCGACGTGAAGTCTTGGGTGCCGCAACTATTGTTTGCTTGCCATCAGAGGCGTGCATAAGGTAGGTTGGTATGGAGATTGTTGGATGTCATACACTTCCCTGTCTGTCCCCTCCTTGGCTAAGGTAGTCATCTATAGAAGCGCATCTCTCCCACAGAACGTTATCGAGATCACACACACTTCTACCGACTTTTTCTTAATTAACGATGCTTTTGATCCCACGACAACATGCTGGCCCCGTTGGCCGAGCATTTGAACCTGAGCTCAATCGCCCTTCATATTCCCACCAGAAGAAGTATGCATCGAGTTGTCCAACCTGGCTACCAAAAGTTCTTCAAACAAAAAAGCTATCGCTATTAGAACGGCTCCCCAACGATGTGCAGAGGCTCATTTTCTCGAACCTGGACTATCAGTCTCTCATCTTCCTATCCATGGTGAACCGACACTTTCATCGGACAGTAGACCCCCAACGCATGGCAACACTACCAGACAAGTTTGAATTGGTCATGAGAGCAGCAAAGGACTTCCCACAACATTGGGCCAGCGAGAAAAAGAAAGATCAGAGACCCGGAAACCTAGAGTGCTACTGGTGCTTCCGTGTACGGAGTCCGCAACACTTTGATGTGTTACAAGCCAACACGGCCTACTTTGACCCACAAGGCCGATTGGTACCGGAGCAGGAGGCGGGACCTCAAGACCGGTTTGTGCCCCTCCGCCGCTTCTGTATCGGATGTGGAGTAAAGGCTGGACTTCACGCACCATCTGACTGCATCGTGACAAGAACAGGCCTGGACCTCTGGGTTTGCCGATGCCGGCGTGTGTGGCAGAAACCTAACTGCCTGCAGTGTCCAGACTGCTCTTCAACTTGTCCACTGCGGCCCAAAAGGAGGTGGTGTGGCTGTGACTATTCGTCTGCGCGACCCCAGCATTGTGTCCTATTGCATCAGGGAATCTAGGTGATAAGCATTAGCAAAGGAAAGGCATGCATGTATTATGGAGACTACCAAACAGAGATCCCCAGATAGAACAAGGCTACCGTTTCAAGGTATAAACGGAGCTGAGGTTAGTCAGATCGAGTCATGCATGGGCCGAATCCAAGGGACACTTTACGAGAAACTGGGGCAAGAGTACATCCGGGGTATGGAAAACTGTCAATATCCATGTTACTAGCGAATAATCAGAATGATTTTTATGCCTTGAATCCGATTACTGCTTCAGACGTGAAAACATAGCCAACATAATCTTTGGACTGAAATTCCAGAGATGAAAAGCTAGAAATATTTACATCCTTCTAGAAGCAACGTGGTATGCCGCAATTGTTCATCAGATCAGCCAGTGCAATGCATACTCACAACTTGGGCAACTCAGAATCTATCAAAGCAGTTTCCAGAATCTGTATCTTTTAGTCTCGCCTCACGTCTGGAATATGATGCCCAAAGCCGGCCACGTCGGAGATGCGAGCCGTGTGTCATCACCTGACCTCACGCGTTTCGGTGTGGTAATCGTGCAATAGAAGCCCAGGTTCTCCCCCTTTGCTCTGTATGCTTAGGAAAGATTGTTTTTCGTAGTCACATGGTTCCCGTGACATGAAAAATGTTTCATCGGTGAGGATGGTTGGGGTTGAAGGTTTGCTGGACTTTATTGGGTGTTTTGTTGTCCCTTGCTGAGCGGTAGAAATATATCGGGAAAGGCTTTCGAGGTCTTATACAGGTAGTATTTCTGATCTGTAATTCTTTTAAGCTAAGCGGCATCCATTATTGTCTGTCACACATATGCAATTAGCTTTGTTTCTACAACTCAATCACTATTTGCATCATTGTTGCCCACATCAATGCTCAAGGAGTCCGCCGTGATTCACAATCACTCCCCCAACAATACCTATATAAGCAATCAGGCCTTTACATTAGCTATTCTAATTCTCTTCCTCTAACATTCTGTTTGCTTCCATCCAGGAGCCTTCCCTCAAATACCAGCTATCACCTTTTCTTTGTCTTCATTCGCTGTGCCTATCCATCATGGGTGACAATATCTCTCAGCCGCCGGATGAGCCTGTCCTCGGTCCAGCCCTAACACCACCAAGCATTGAAGATATTCCGACTCTTGATCTCCTTGTCAAGCTAGAGCTGGACCGGGGCAGCGAGGGAAGTAAACCATGCGATGACAAAGAGACAGAGGTGCAAGCACTTTCAAACTATACTACCCCCAGGATTAACACACTCTGCTAGATCACTGAAGCTCATCCAGAGAAAGACGTTCTCTCGGAATCTATTGCAGATGATGTCCATCCATCACGCGGCGACGAAACAACTCAGAACCATGAGCAGGGACTTTTTGATGATATCGCCACTGAGTATGGGGATACTTCGGGTTCCGAACCAGATTTTTCATCGAGCTCAGAATTTGACTGCGGGTCGGATGATGAGAATGAAGAAACAACAGACGAGTAAGACACTGAGGAATTGTTGAGGAAGTCGTTTCTGTTGACGTTACCTTTTAGTTTGATCCGCCATGTCACAGCTCATCGAGGCGAGCCGTTTGAGTACGTCTATCGCTTTCCTCCTGTGAAGCCCCTAGATCCGATCAAAAGTCCCCAAATTACTGCCATGGAGCCTGCTGGCTTACCCTTGACACCATCTGCCACTACGGATGTTCTCTTTCAAAATGACTTTTTCATCGTCAAGCGATCCGTCATCGCGGGATGGGGCGCCTTCGCAGTCAAAGACCTCGAGATTGGAGACAAAATTCTCGTCGAAAGACCACTATTCACTGCCGATAACAACACGCTGTACAAGGAATTCGACAAACTGGATCGGGAATCGCAGGACATTGCGCTGGGCCTTCATGCTAACAGCTATTGTAAATTCCAGAGCATCAAGGCCGTCTGGACTACAAACTGGTAAGTTGAGAGTTGAGGAACGAAGAAAACAGGTCTGAACGTGCTTTTAGCTTTTCAACAGGCGTTTGGGATGAAGCAGGCCTTTTCCCTATTGCGTCCCGCTTCAATCACACATGCCATCCGAGACAGACCGTTAAATACCACTACAATAAAGTTGACGAGGTACTTGAGATGGAAGTCAAGGCAAATCTTATCAAACAAGGCGAAGAGTTGACCATCTCTTATGGTTACGGGCTGACTCCCGCCGATTTGTTCTATCGCTATGGGTTCAGATGCCGCTGTGGAGGATGCTCGGGATGGACAGAAGAGGATGAGAGGAGAATGTGGTGATCAAAAAGAGAATATCACATTGCGAGTGGCCTGTTGCTTTTCTTGGTCTTGATACGGCTGAGATGGCTTTGGTTCCGGCATTTTAGACAGGATTGACACTTCTGGCCTATGTTTGATTGGGTTTGTATTGACCTAATATACCTAGGTAGGGTCATTCTTTGGTCCTTGGGAGATGGGAACAGCTTTGGGCGAAGAGCAACCACTCTGGGTATAGGCGTTGAAATGATACAAACGATAGAAATTATCGCCATGAACTTTCGGTCCGTTGTTAGTTGTGATGTTTCTTTGTTAATTGTCGATGTGAAGTCCCTGTGCTCAAAGACAGGTAGTTTTGATTATTTCTCCTTGTTGTTTTATGTCTTTCGAGATAAACTTGAAAAGTACATAGAAAGGATTTCAAAAGTTGAGAGAATATCGCAAGCTCCATTGCCGCGCTGTTTATTCATTGTAGGAGTCACCGGTGTCTGCCTACACTAAGTCAATCTGAGCCTCAACAAAGACACCGTATGAGTCAATCACCAACGAAGCACAGTGACCATTCGTGAAATACAGCATTTATATCATGCCATCAAACAAAGAACGTTTTCCTCTAACTTAACTACATATTATTTTCGCAACACAAAGCACCTTCTCTCTCTATCTCAATGCCTTCATCTTCCCAAAACTATCAATCCTCAAACATCACCAACTATCTACACGCACATTGACAAATAATTTCGACAGAAGACAACAACATTCACAAATAATGGGCCTATACACGGTCATTGAGGGAAACACTCCTGATAGTGTGACGGGCTGGTCGAATTACCAGAATAATTCTGGCAATGATGTCTTTTACTTCAGTTTCGCCGAACTAGCCATGCAGATTGTCCTCTCAGCGGACCATCAGACCATGATTTCATGCCAAATCATTGATACATATAGGCTATTTTCGAGAAAGTTAATAGATCCTCTTCGCCAAGAAGTCCGCTCTATCATGAGAACAGCCCTTGGAGACGACTCTTGCCATGTCAGGGGGTTTGATCTGCAAATCGCCATTCTTCAGATGTTGGAAGTAATTCAAGAATTTGAACTGGCACAACAGTCTTCCAAACCAGAAAAGTACGAGAAAGGTTATGCAGCAGACGAGGTTTCAGACTGGAACGAAGTTATCAACAACCCCTTCGGTCTCGATGTGTCAACCATCCAAGACACAGCCTATTCAATCCTCCATAAAACACCCGAGGAACTGACAGTTGGTATCCCCAAAGAATGGAGAGTCATTCACATGGAATCTGTTCTTCGCCACGATCTCGTCAGACGCTTCTGGAGCTACCAGGAGTCGCTGGAAACAGACCTGAAATCCTACGGGACGAGTTTACGAGACAGAATTCCGCCCCATTCGAAGCTGGCAGGCCAAGTCCGAGCCCAAATTAGTCACGAGACTATTATCCAGGACATGACTACTCCTCGTGTGACTTTCCACGGCACTCCTCTTCAGTCAGTAGGATCGATTGTCCGCCATGGCTTCAAGATGCCTGGCAAAATAGTCGAAGGGCAAGTCGTCGCCTCTCCTAGATCGGGCATAGTATTCGATCGAGGAATCTACTCATCTCAAGAGGCATTTTATGCTATATCTTATGCTCGTGGGCAGAGAGAGATGACCCCAGTCGGTATGCTACCTAGTATGCGGTTATTTGTCTGCGCTACCATCATGGGTAGAACATATACCGGGAGTGACGGACGCCATGGTCCCTTGATTGAAGGTTATGACTCACACTTCGATGGGGGGTTTGAATACATCGTCCACAATGAACGAGCCATGATTCCCTGTTACGTCATTCACCTCGATCTCGGCTCAGAGGCAGCCAAGCAGGCCCTCAACGACGTACAGACAAACCCTGAGGATTTCTACAACCTGACCAAGACCAAGAAGCGCCCCGAAGCGAAAAGCACGGCGCCTGGAGATATCCAACGTGAGAAGGAAGCTAGAAAAGCGGCAGCTCTGAAGTGGTTCCCTTATGGCTTTGGCCCTGCTACGGGTACAAGATTTGTGATTGAGGAGGTGGGCGAGATTTCGGATGATGAAGAGGAATACGGAGACTGGCAAGCTGACAAGCATGGCTATGTTTCGGACGACGAGGGGTGGGAGTACTATGATGAGAATGGAAATCTGGTGAAGGAAAAGAGGCGTTTGATGGATCAATATCAGCATGCCACGCGGGCACATAAGTATAAAAGGGGGCCCTGATCCCCAGGGAAGCAAACTCTGGACCGCGCCAAGATTAAGTAGTCTAAATGCATACTAAGATATCCCAAACCCACCTAAGTCCTTTCGTCACTTAGGATAGAGGCCCTAAGTTTTCTCTCCCAAGCCTGTCAAAGAAGAATTATCCAGTGTCCATTGCAGTAAATTGTGTGTGTTTTCTTCTAATCCCGAACGCCATGCCATGCAGTCCATCCATCCATCATATGATACATCCTCTAATCCCAGTACCTAATCTCACCGTCCAGACCCGCCGTAACCACCTTGCTGGTCTCCTGAGGATGCCATTTGACAGTGGTGACAGCCTGGTTACCAGCCTTGAACTTGTGATACATCTTACACGTCTTCCAGTCCCAGAAACATACATAACCACCAGAGTCACCTGAGGCAAGGAATTGTCCATCAGGACTGCAGTCGAGATCGATACCAAGACCGGCGTTGTTGTGGCCGCGGTAGCTCTTCTTTCGATTCTGTCGGAACTTGTCGTTCGCGCCATAGACAAGGATCTGGTTATCAGAACTCTGATATGCGACGTACTTGCCGCTGGGGTGAGGCGCCGCGCGGGTCATAGGGTACATATCTGGTTCAGCGATGTATTTGATGGGGACGGGAATGTTGTAGTCCCACGCTCGGAGAGACTTGTCGTCAGAAGTTGTCATGAAGCGTCGGTTCTCGTCAACGAACGTGATGGTGTTGATGGCAGCTAAGTGATGATCATACTCCTGGACAACCTCGTTCGGTGTTCGAATATCGAATTGGACAATCTTCTTATCCGACATACCGGCCAAAAACTCATTCGCATGCTCAGGATCAGGATTGAATTTGATGACATGGGGAGTTTTGCCCGTCGTGAACTTGCTCACGCAAACACCCTTCTCAGTATCCCAGAGCTTGATCATGCGGTCGTAGGAAGACGAGAGAAACTGAGTGCCCGATGTGTTGAAGCAAATATCTGAAATAGCTTTTGAGTGTCCAGAGTATGTTCGTAGGAGCTCCCGTTCATGGTACACATCGAAGATCTTGACGGTAGTGTCGGCACTGGCTGATAGGAGCAAATGTCCAGAAGAAGGGAAGAAACGTAGCGCAGTAATCGCCTTGGAATGGTTCTTCCAAGAGTGAATCTGCTGCTTGGGAATGAAGTTGGTGACGCTTCCCACTTCTTTTCGAAGGTCGATGTCCAAGTCTTGAGGAACGTGCATATAAGTCCTTCCCTGATAATCGTACTCGGCGGATCCGTGGAACGTCGTGGTCTCGTCACCCATCTCCTCGGCCTCCTTCCGTCGTTCCAAAGCCTTGGTTGGTGCCTTGACAATTGTTCCACTCTCGACAACCTCTTCCTCCTCTTCGACAATCTCATATTCCTCATCGCTCGCCAATTCTTCGCCGTCCGCAACAACCTCGTATTCTGCCTTTTTGTATCGTGCCCAAGGTCCGACATAAGACCCAGGCCCCTCTGCAATGGTCGCGCTGCCCTTGCTCTCTCGCCCAGCTCGTATCCTGGCAGCCTCTGCTTTTTGCTCTGCATTCGTTTGGTACTCTCGTTCAGGGCCACCTCGTCGCTCGATAGCACGATGCTTACTCCGGAATGTGTGTTCGCTTAGAAAAGTCTCCTCTGCGTGTCCAGTTGGTACGCTCTTGCGCTTCAAAATGTTGTTCTCGTCCTTGAACGGGTTTAATGGCCCAGCCTTGGGACGCGATAGGTCTTCAGCCGAATAAGGCACAACAGCATGATCAGGTTCGGCTTGTTCTCGAACTATGAGCGCATCTTGCGGCGCCATATTTGGCGGATATTCGCCAAAGTCCGCCATGATGATTCAAATATGCCCTTGGGTGGGTTGAAGGAAAGAGGTTGTCCCAGCTACTGATGATTAAGAAAACAAAAGAGTTAACTGTATTTGTACTGCTTGGTTAAAGCAGCAATCGAGTCATTGAGACAGATAAACCTTATCTGATTCTGACTTCTGCGATGACCGACTCGCTATTTTACTTGTTGGTGGAAACACTAAAAGTCTCGATGGACTTGTGCAGGACGGAATGAAGGAAAAGGCTTGATGAAGGGAATGCAGATGATTGATAGAGTTTGAACGTCGCAAAGCACAGGTAGGTATCCGTAGGTTAGTAGTCATGCTTCAACAAGCGCGACAGAGCAGATCGCGAAAACATGAATAGTCACGTGACTCTGGTCGCAATCGCATGTTCCCTAAGAAATGGGAGAAATTTTATAAGATCCCTAAATCAAACGCATAGTCTTACCTAAGGCCTATCATATCTATGCTGAATTTATCTAAATTTTCTTTTGTCGTTTAGGATAAAGGCTCTGAGTTATCTTCCCAAAGGCAGTGTTTGGCTGTTTAAGCCCGAGCACCTCAAGGAATATGAGTAATGTTTGTCATGAGTTGTAAGTCATATACTGTACATAAAGAAACTATGCATCTCATCCAAAGTATCAAAACTGGCCATTTTATTCGGTCATTAATCAATTATCACACCGGGCTCAAACGCTGAAGGACGACGGGACGAGACCACCACCAAGTGCGGTCAATGCCTCAGTCTCCAACAGAACATGCCACCCACCGCCTTCATGAAGTAATCAACCAGAGCGCCAGCTGGCATGATACCAGGATATATACGCCAAGCCCACCTCTTAAAAATAAAAATAAAAAAGCTATCATCATCATCTATACTGTCTTCCACTCGTTGTGTACTGCCGTAGCAGATTCATGTCGTGTTCTCTTGTTGTCGTCGCGTGACTAGTCGACTCGGCCCTGGGTGTCAGCTGAACTCGACCAGCTTGTTAAGATATTGCAATCTGTCCTATCTGACGTAGCCGAACATTGCCTAACATCGGTGATATCGGACCGCGGCTCATTTGAGAGGGGTAGCATTTTAGGAGGACTCGTCTCGGATAAGAGCAACAATCATGCTGTAAAGGTAGAAGAAGAACATGAGCAGGTGAAAGCCAAGCTTGAAGAAAGATTCCTGTTGTTGGGTTAATACTGCGCTTTGCTACGAGTCAAGCTAGACCACATACCTTTTTGTGAACATTGAGCTTGCGGAAGATCTCAGTCGCATCGAGGAGATGAGTGTTGTCAACAATCCTAGCCACGGTCAGTCTATTGTCGCAAAACTCGGGATGTAGTCGACATACTTCTTGACGTTCCAGCCAAGGAGAGGCAAGTTGAGAATGAGAGGGATCCAATAACCGTTGATGAGGAAGAGGAAGGTCAAGAAACCGTGCACAGCAGCCTCGGGGATAATATAGGTATTGAGTCGGTTGCAGAGGTCAATGGGGTTAATATAATCACTGTTACCATATGCGATTAGTTTTCATCTCATTAAATGCTTTGAATACGCGCATCTGTGAGGCGCAAAGTTTGACACTCTAGATAGCAGCGTTTGCAAGAACCATGGGATCCATACCATTCCAAATCACTGTACATAATAGTGAAGAAAACCTGTAAAAAGAGGTTGACGGCGTTGATAAGCACCGACAACAAAAACAGCCAAGCTTCTCCAGACATCATGTTGGGCTAAGTGTAAATGTGACGTTGAGGATTGGTGATCGAGTTGGGATGACGATGTCGGTCGAGGACAGCTGTTTGACAAGCTCTGTCACAAGCTGCAGATCGCGGTGCAAGGCGAGAGATGATAAGCTTCGGAGTGGTACAGTTCGCGAAAAGCTCTGGGTAGGTAGTTGAATATGCCAAAGTTGCCTTGCAGAGAAGATTTCTTAGTCACGGAGCGTGAGGGGAATAACAGAGTGCAAGAGGAGAAATCTTGGTGGCGGGCAATGGATGGTGTGGAAGGGTAGCGTTGGTGAGTTCTGGTGGAGATATGGTGGAGGTGGACCTGGAGAGGTTAGGTTAAGTTAGGTTCTTGGGCTGGTCAGATAAAAACTAGCCGCGATGATGGAAGCGGCGACAGCTCAGGGCACACCCTCGAAGCTGACAGTAGGGACATTGTGCTGAAAACCCCCTGTAATCCCAGTGGCCTCTGTCTTGATCCCCTGTCCGCAAAACGCCTTCTACGGCGGATGGCGTGGCCGAGTGACGCCTGCATGTGGCTGGGAGGGTTCACTGAGCCTTTGAGAGGCAGGGTTTATTACTCTCCAACTTTGGCAGCGAGAGCCATTTGCGTCACTCCACAGATACCTAGATAAGCCTGCATCCGGGGATATGCACCACGGACATCGACAATGATGTAACGACGTGTGGCCTGACTTGACCAAGCTAGCCAAGCAAGGCTGATCAACGTCAATAGCCACATGAACATCATGGTTCACATGCTTCTACAGTAACCTTAATAGAAGACTCTTATCAACCACTCAAAACTCAAGCAAAAATGTGTCAATATATCAATTTTGGGTTCATGCCTCGCTGCCCGCCGTTATAATGCACCGTCAATCAGCCAACAACCCCTCATCCCCACCAACTCCAGAACATGATATCGCCAAAACATATGATTTCTTCATATAACAACACTCATAATGCTCTATGCCTGGGTTTCTCCGTTCTCGGTGCCAGGCATCGGTAGGGCGCCACCAGGAGAATCTGGCTGTCTCGCGGTCAAAATCTCAACACCATCTTCTGTAACTAGAAGAGTGTGCTCTGCGATTCATATTAGCATATATCACCACCACACTTCCAAAGGATACTTACCAAACTGAGCTGTCAGCTTACCATCAATGGTGGTGCTGGTCCAGTTGTCAGGCCAAGTGATATCTCTGTACTTGCCCAGGGCAATCATGGGCTCAATAGTAAAGGTCATTCCAGGCTTGCACTCTCCAACAGTCTTGTTCTTGGCGTAGTGAGGGACGTTGGGGGGGCAATGGAAAAGCTTGCCGACTCCGTGGCCACAGTAAGTTCGGATAACGCTGCAGTTGTGCTTCTTGGCATGCTTCTCAATAATGTTACCAAATTCTCGGATCAGAGTACCGGGCTTGACGGCCTTGATAGACTCATCTAAGCATTGTCGTGCCGTTTCAA